ATGTGTGTGTATAGGGCAGTATGGGGGGCAGTGTGTGTGTATGGAGGGCAGGGTGTGTGTATGGGGGGCAGTGTGTGTGTATGGGGGCAATGTGTGTCTATGGGGGGAAATGGGTGTGTATGGAGGCAATGTGTGTGTGTGTGTGTGTGTGTGTGTGTAGAGTGTGTGAACCCCCAAGCCTACCTGTCACTGGAGGATGTTGCTGGAGGTCAGGCAGCCATCTTCTGCAGCAGCATGGGCTGCTGCATTACGGCGGGGGCGGGGCTTATCTGCAGGAGGTGGGGCTTTGTTTGGGGGCGGGGCCTGTGCCGGGGAGCCAATCAATGCTCCCTCCGGCCACAGACAGCCCCCAGCACCTCTCTCCTGCATTCCCTCGGGCTGAAACAGGCTGTTACAGTCCGAGGGAAGCCCCATGGCCAGCAAGTTGCCAGCATTTGGGGGGGCCCAACGGGGGGCACAGCATGATGTAGGGGGGGCCATGGCCCCCTCTGGCCCCCCCCCCAGCGACATCACTGTCCAGCGGTATTTCAGGATTTCATTAACGATGTCCTTAGAGAGTACCTTCACATGTTCGTTTTAGTGTATCTGAACGGCATTCTCATCTATTCCCCAGGCCTAGAGACACATCACGAACATGTGAGAATAGTAATAAAAACCCTGTTAAAAAAACAGCCTCTACTGTAAGCTGGAGAAGTGCCAGACCGAGATACAGTTTCTTGGATATGTTATATCTCCATCTGGCTTCAAAATGGACCCTCACAAGTTGGAAGCAGTCTTACAATGGCCGCTACCCAAAGGCCTCAAAGCTATACAACGCTTTATAGGTTTTGCGAATTAATACCGCAAGTTCATTAAAGGTTTTTCCTTCTGTAATCTCTCCTATTACCAACCTAACCAAAAAAGGAGCAAATTACAATTCATGGCCCAAGGAAGCAAAGGAGGCATTTGAGCAATTAAAATCTTTATTTGCCTCAGCACCTGTCCTGACACACCCCGATCCAACGAAACCATTTATTCTAGAAGTAGATGCGTCAGAAACAGGAGTAGGAGCCATTCTGTCTCAAAGAGAAAGTCCTGATACATCCCTGTGGGTTTTTCTCTTGAAAACTAACACCTGCAGAGAGAAATTATGATATTGGGAATAGGGAATTATTGGCCATTATACTTGCCCTCAAAGAATGGAGGCATCTCTTAGAAGGTTCCAAAGAGCCACTTCTGATTTTTACCGATTACAAAAATTTGGCTTATATTGGGGACGCTAAGAGATTGTCCTCTCG